AACTTGGGTTTGGTGATAAGTAGAGGCGTTGCAGAGACAAGGGTGGAACAAAACTGAGAAATACCGGCTGTTTCTCTCTAACTCCATTTTGACACTTTGTGTTTCACGCTTCGCATGTGACTCCACTGCCTTAAGTCCCATCGTTCCGAGCTTGAATTGCTTCTTGCACAAAATACACTGAGCCTCATGAATGTTCCCTGGTTTTAGCCATGGAGAAAACTCTTGGCTGGAGACAATTTTCATTACATTTACACTTAATCATATTTTCTAGACAAAAAGTTAATGGCGCAAATGTCCCGGCCGCAACAATGCTTTTATTGGTTCCGCTATCGGGACAGAACCAATAACGGCTAGCCATTATTTTTTTTAAATAAAAAAAAAGGTCAATTTTAGTGTTTTATTTAGATTAAAAAAATAAATCGTAATCAAAATAATCCTATTTATGATGTTTTAAAAATTAAGACCTACGAAAGACTGATGTAAGACATTTTAATACCAATTAAGGCCTTAGTTTTATTTTGAAGAATTCAATGCCTTTTAAGACTTTTTAAGGACCCGCGGGGACCCTGTAACAAACTCATTCAATGCCTTGTATCAAAGTAAATAATCACCTCTACCATTGTGTTGCAGATATACGAGGTGTTTGTGCTAATAAGTCTACGTATCATGAGATCTATTGTCGTTTCTCTCCAAAGAACACTGGGCCTCACGGAAGAATTGTTCGTAGAAACAAATTTGTTCTTAAATCGTTCATACGAGCAGCAGACATGGGCAATGTGGAGTCAACAAGTCATCTCCATGTCATGCATTTGTTCTACCCAGCCACTAAAGCAGGTGTGTCCAATCTTCACCGTGAATTAACCTATGTAGATTGGACTCACCTGGTTAATTGGCTGGGTAGATTAAATACATGACATGGAGATGACTTGTTGACTCCACATTGCCCATGTCTGACGAGCGATTCCCTCCTATTAACCTCCTCTGAGGTATGACTATATTTTACGAGTGCTTCAGACTTGTAAGCCTTGTGCAATCATATGTCTTGTGCAATCCTTCAACTGTAATCCAAATGTAGTTACTTTGAAGCAATTGTCAATTTTATTAGGCAACATCATTATATATTATCTTGCGAGCAAGATAAATTGTCATGACATTTGTAAATTCACTAACTCCATAAAATACATCTTGCCAGGAACCAACAGATGCATTAGTTTCGATACAGATATGTTTCAAATGAACGAAATGCAGAGAGATCTTTGATGTCAACGCGTAAACGAGAGCCTGAAGCCAAACAAAACAAACATGTCGGTTTTAGCTGAAACAACCCCTATTTCTATTATTTTTTTTTTTAAACAGCAAAAAGACGCAATTTTTTGCCATTGTGGATGTGAAGATGTTTCCACGTTTCTCCCGACCGGATTTGGTAAGAGTTTGACTTATCAGTTAACTCTGCTAGTTGTGAAACAAATAAAGCTGCTACAGCTGCTATAATTGGCAAAAAAAAAGCTTGTAGAATTGTACCGAATTCTACATTCTGCGAAACACTTTCTACATGAGGCTTTCTAGATCATTACGTGTAGCTCCTGTGAAGCTCCTGTAACCCTCAACCCATCTATAGCAACCGTTCTAACAAAGAAATGCTTGCTCATTTTCATCCTAATGAAACTGCCGTGAACTTTAACCGTCCCCAAAGGTGAAGAGATGGTCACAATCACAGACGATAACTTGATCAGGGTCACCTACCTGCTATTCCTTCTCAAATCCTGTTCTAGCAGGAAGGTTCTGATTCAAAAGAGTCCATTTAACTTTCATTAATGTAACGTGGTTAAAAAAAAAAAGATAAAAAATACAGATAAATTTAAATCTTCTTAAAACGGATTATTGAATCAGCATTGGATTTTTATAAACCAGATATTTCAATTTTGTTAAGTATGACAATCAATCGGACCATTAACATAAAATATTTTATTGTTATTTAGACTTTGCTGTATTTTTAAAATTTTGTTAAACAAAGAAGGTGAGCAATATCCTGTTCTTCTAGTAGAAGGTACACAAAAAAAAAGAAAATCTAGGCAAAGATATTCTAACCCAAAAAACTAAGATGATGTATCTAATTTCTCAACCTGGCAAACTGCATGACCTTTTTCTACATAACTTAAACTTTGCTTGTTCAATTGAGAAAATTATGAAAAAAAAAAAAGATTAACAAAATAAATATTTCTTACCACCAAAATGAAAAGAGATATACTAATACTTCTGAAGTTATGGTACTAACTTACCAATGCTAATTATTCGCTCCCATGACAAAAACAATTCCTGGACGATTATTTTCTTCCAGGGTTTTCTGGCTGTTAAGGAAATGTTGAATAAACTTTTTTTAAGTTGATTATATGTGATTGTATACCTATCCAATGTAATTTGACATGACACACATGGTAGTCAGATGTTGCAGCCTTAATTACACAGATCCAGCTGTGGATTCTTCATTTAATCAGCAGTCAAGTTCTGACATGAGTACATTTTCAGATGTGAAACACAGAGGAGCCAGCAAAATTACCAAGTCCTAATTAAAGCAAGGCAAGCACATAGCAAAACTTTAAGTCACTGTTAGACTAACTGACCTCCAAAAACTGCAGATTTATTAATATTTCTGGTACAAATCTGCTGGAAAATGTAGAACAAAAGTGAAAGTGAAAAAAAGGAAGACTTAAATTTCGTCTGATATTCTAAAGCCTTCAATCTATGCATAGATATATAAACACAGGCAGAACTCACGCTTAGCCGCTACAGGAACAGCGACTGCCGTATCGCGGCTACATTAATCACAGGAGGTATTTAAATACATTTGTCAGTATATTTAAGCCAAGTTAACCCTGCTCTGTTTACATTCCTGAAACTGGATGTGATGCTATCGGCTTCATGAGGGAAGCTAAGCTTCATTATCTCATAAATATGCAGGACCAGATAACTGCAGCCACGTTTTTACTCATTTCTGAAGTATTTGGTTAAAAGCAAGAAAACCAGAAGGGAGTCAAGTATAGATGAGAGCGCCAAGGAAAACACCAGAACTTTACTCGTTTTCTGCCCTCTTTAAAAATCTAAATTAATTACCGTTTTGTACATTTCTCTTAAGCTGTTGTGTTTTGTCAAATGTTGCATTTTCTCAGAAAAACATACAAGCTCATGGGAACATCAGCTTCATGGAACATCCCATCATTCCAATTAGCAGGCATTCTTTATAGGAAATTACCTCTTTTTACTCATTTTATTCTGTCACTTAACATCTATTTTTATCAGCTCAACAATAGTTTGGCTCCAAGACAAAACCAACAGCATAAATTCTTAGACAGCAGGTCGACAGCCAATTAATCTTCTCCTCTGGATTTTTTATATTTTCAAAAACAGGTGTAATCTTCAAACAAACATCAACTGAAAGTTTAGTGGAAGGAAGACACGTGATAGAGAGAGGCGCATACGCAACATGGATCACAATGTGATTTGGGCGCTATGATTACTGTGATGAGTGGACAGAATCGTGGAATTTAGCAAACAGACGGTAAATAAATAAATAATGTAATTCTGATAAACGAAAATCTACTACAAAACCGAAGAATCTCACGGAATTCACTCATTTTGGCGAGATGTAGAAGTCTGTGAGGTAGAAGAGGCTAGCTAAGGTGAGGCAGACCGGCCTGAAAACTCTACAGCCGTCAGCTACATGAGCAGAAGCCAGGCATGAGTTTAGTTGGTACATTACCAGTGCTTTTCTACAAAAAATAAAGATTTGAATATATGTGACAGAAGGAAGAAGTAAAAATGAGCAAAGATCCCATTCAAAAGCCAAATGTGGACAAATTGTTAGTTTGTATATGGCTCTTTCAGCTTGTTTGGACTGTATATAATTTCAAATAAATAACATAAATTGCTTATTACTAACATATGGTTTAGGAGTGGCGGCCTAGTGGTTAGGGTTTGGAATGCTAAGGTTGTGAGTTGGAAACCCAATCCCGCAGACTGACATTCTGGCTCTCTGAGCAAGACCCTTAACACCCGATTGCTCCCCTGGTGCTGCACTATGGCAGCCTACTGCTCCCCCAAGGGGATGGGTTTAATGCAGAGTTAATTTCTCCATTGTGAGATCAATAAAGTTCAATTAAAACAAATTAACGGGTAAAAGCTGATGATGACCGATTTCTTTTTTTTTTTTACCTTATTAGTTAAAATTACAGAAAATGAAAAACTTTAGGGCAAGCTCTGAATATATCTGTTCAGTAAAGTAAAAATCTGTGAATCTAAGAAGAAAAAAGTTAAAAACGTACCACTGATGACTTTCAGCACACCTGGGATTGACTCTTATGGCCTCTTCACCAACTTTTTTACCTAACAGGAAAAGAGGAGAAAGACTTAATTTTTCACAAAAATAACAAATCCCATGCCTCTTTTTCTTTTTTTGTATTATAAAAAAGAAAATAAAGAAAAAAATATATTGATCCTGAGTCGGGAAATCCAGGAGCAAAAAGGAAAATGGAAGCAAAGAGGTTCACATATCATTAGAAATTACTTTAAAAAGTCTAAAAAATACTATTAAAATTTACAGGAATCAAAACCTTTAATAGACTGAACAGTAAAAGAGAAACCAAAACAGCAAACTCCAACTGAATTAAAGAAAATGTGCAACATGGAGGGGTGACTAAAAACCCACAAAATGCACATTTCTGAGAGTTCTTTGAAAAAGTAAAAAATTGGACTGGAGCCAAAAAAAATGTGCAAGCAACAACATGGATGAAAAAGCACTTCTTGGTTCTGATGATACCAGTGACTGTTTTTAAATAGGGCTGCATGATTTCAGGAAATTGGATGGTGATATTAGTGCTTCCAACACTCAGTGGGAGTTTTCCCATTTTGGGCACCATCACTGATGTCAGGTTGGACACTGACTGCAGTTTTACTCCATAAATCAGGCTGCACATGCAAAAGGTGCTTTCATAACCATCCTAAGCAGCAATGGAATATCAGAAGTGAGAATGTAAAAAAGAAACCCTTATTATAATAAATAATAATTATAATTGAACTTTATTGAGCTCCAATTGGAGAAATTTACATCTGCATGTAGCCAATCCCCTTGGGGAGCAGTGGGCTGCCTTCCTGGGGCGCAGTGTGGGGTTTAGGGTCTTGCTCAGAGACCCAGAGTGGCAGTCTGTGGGAGTGGGTTTCAAACTCAAATCACCAACCACTAGACCGCCACTCATTAATTCTGTACCCCTATAGGACAGTGATCTGATACAGCTATAAAAGAGAAAACAAAACGGGACATATTAGAAGTAAAGCCTGGCATACACTGTATGATGTTTTGCCCTTTTCGGGCCGATTCTCCAGTCGTGCGAGAATTTTTCGTTGGTAACGATGTGCGATCAGCCTCTCACGACCCTTCTCCCAATCAGGAATCGTAGGGTCAGGAAAAAATCAAATATGTTTGAAACTCCGTCGGCCATCGTAAGGTCGCATCAGAGCTTCGGGACGCACAGTGTGAACATGAATTGTAAATTTCAAACTTTTAAACCCTGCGCCCTGCGGTTTCGTCGTACAGTTTGAGCTTTAGCTGCATACAACGATTGAAAATATCGCAGTGTGTCCCCGGCTTGAAAGCATTTTCAGATTTGAGTACAGAATTACAACAGATGCTTGTTCAGCTTTGAATTTTGCAGCTGAACTAAAGTCCTCATCTGCTTCAGATGTTACTTAATCTGGGACAACAGGTTTTTTTGTCCTATCCAGACATTTTTGTTTTCCTTACTCTACTAGTATCAAACACTTTAACGAGACTTCTGTGTTCCCTGGTTCTCTTTTCTTTTAACACAGCCTATAAAAAGTGTAGAATGTTTAGTTACAAATATAACTCCGCTCGACTAATATCTAAATGGATGCAAAATGAATGCAACTGTTTTTGAAATACCCATGTCCCCTGTTACTGTCGGATTCTCTGACACAGACGACTATAAAAAAGAACCTGGCCAACTTGATGAGAGATGAGGAAGGATTAAGTTCAGAGAAACAGGCTGATCCAGTTTTGATCACAGAAGGCTCACAAAAAACAGCTCTGTTCATTGAGAAAAAAAAAAGAAAACAAACGCAGCCGTCTGTAGTACTAATTGTACTATAAAAAGGTCGCTGGGAAATGTTTGCTTTCGTCATGGGTTCTGGAAAAAGTTGCAGAAGATGGAAATGTTTTTCAAATCTTTTACATCCAAAGACTTTCATTTGCATGAAATCTAAAAACGAATCATCACTTTACTATGAACCTTCAATTATGGCTCAAATGATTTGAAAACAAAAAACAAAACATTTTTGGCAGTTATCAGATAACATCCCACGGAATGCTAAAAGTCTATTAATACTTTTTTAAATGCATCATTTAGCTAAGCTTAGTGTTTGAGTTTCACACCATCAGGTGGACGAATAATCTACCCTGACAGTTTATTTATAAGAATCAGGTATAAGAATACCTTAAATTTACATTTAAATTGAACGAAAAGCTCAATCACACTAATAGAGATTGAGGCCTAGTCCACATGAAGCCAAGCACAGTATCTTTTTGTTAAAAGCTTAGAATAAATTTGCATCCACACAGCTAAAGACGCTGTAGCTCATATGCCGAGCCCTAAGATAGTGATGTGATGTTGCTACAGAATCCCAACAAAAAACATTGATGTATAAACACTGGGGACACTTAGGCAGCTCCTGCCAGAGTCCTGCACAGGTTTGATTTTTCAAAACTGTCCACACAGATCGGTAGAGTTCAGAACCGAGGCCCGACCCGTTACCCGCAATTAGCCTAATTTAAACCCCGGAACGGACCGGAAAATAATAACGTGACCCATGATCACTAAGTGACACAAAGAAGTTTATAATAACAGAGACGGAGAAGAACATTGCCTCTGCGCCCACAGATTAACAGCTGTAAATTGGCCGAAGTAAGAAGGTTTGCCTCGTTGCTTAAAAAAATACTGCTAACTGGATATTTTTGAATCAATCAATTTTTCAAGATGTAAAGTTAATAAATATGAAAGTATAAATAAGTTTAATTCATGCTGTAACTATGATATCCTAATTATGTTCATATATAACCGTGCCCACACCCCTTTTTTCTTTTTTTCCTTTCACCTTTAACCCATTTACCAAGAACGTGTTTAAAGGGCCCCTTTTTATATTAAACTTTCTGAATAATAAAATGATTGCGTTTTCCTTAGCTGAATTTAACTTAAATACTTTGATCAAATTCAAATTTGAAAAATATGTTTCTGTAATGTGTACAGCAGCTTCATTTATTTAAAAAGAAAAACATCAAATAATCATTTGATAGTCGACCAATATAAAAAATGATCGCCTACTAGCTGAATTTTTAGGATTATTTTTAGTAGCACTAATGTCAAAGTATCTAAAGATGCTGAAATAGATCCTGCAGATTAAACTGTATTATTCTTTAGGTGTAGGACGAGCAACAATGTTTCTGAGCCTTTTATTGTTTTATCTTTGTGAAAGAGGCTCAAAAGCAGGTTGATTACCATTTTCGGCATGGGTCTTCTTCTCCTCCTGAGTGACGCTGATGTCATGAACGTCACAGTGAGCTCGGGTTAGCCGCCATAGAAACTCTGAGCTCTGTCCAAACTGCAGAAGTAAATAAAAGCTTTAGGTAAAACTCTTGTCATGTATGCAGTTAAGGAAATGGAAAAATACAAACATACCTCCTCTTTTTGCTCCAAAAGGATATTCAGGGTTTCCCTTTTGTCCGACTCGTCACCCTGACGCAAGCGGTCGATTCGTTCGAAGAGGACGGATAACTTTTCTGCCGTTTGCTCCTCAGCTGTTTCCTCTTCCTCACTTTGATCTTCTTCATCAGAGTCTGTCAGAGCAGTCATGTACCTGTAACCAAAACAAAAAAACGTTACGGATAAGGCCCGCTAATGTCTCGGGAATAGATGTGCTCGATACAAACCACCTCTACTGGCAGAATGCACGAACAATAAGAAACATCCTAAAAGCTGCCAGAATCTTTCTACCTACAGAGAAAAAAAAGGATCCTCTTCTGAGTGATGAAAACTCAAAGCAATCTCAACATAACGAGCATTTTTAATTAGCCGCATTCTATCAGGTGGTGATTATAACAAATCAATCTTCACCCTCTTTTCGCAAACAAATGGCACCATGCTATGTTTACATAAGTGGGGATCTTAATTGTTTATAATTTTCAGTGGCTGACGTTTGACACCTGAAGAGTTTCCAGGAACATGGGGGAACTTGTTCAGCAGGGTAAGGCACGCAAACAGACCCAACACAAGTTTTATGTCTTTTTTTCCCCCTTTTTCCCCAATCGAGGGAAAGCTCGCAGCAACACCCAAAGCTAACACTTAAAAGCCAAAAGGTAGGACTATAGGTGTAATAAAGTTAAAGGTAAAAATCAAAGACACAGACAGCATGAAAAGCCTCTATTAAGTGCTGGCAGCAGCTGCATGTGCGTCATTGGCGGTTAAGGAATATTTTGGGCCGTGAGGCATGGTTTAGAGGGGAGGTGTCAGAGCAGGACACAGACGGTAGGCCCAACAGGTGTTTTATGCCAAGCACTGCCTGTGAACTCCACCCGCTGACACTCTGGGTTTGATGATTACAACAAGGATGGGAGAGCGTTTGAACTGCACAAATCGAGACATGCTTTTGCTCTGTGACGAAGAAATTCTCTTCAGTGTAAACAGCACAGCGTTTTGCTCCTTGACACAGAAGCTGTGTGTAAAAGAACAGGCTTCAACGCTGATGCTACGTTTGAATTTAGGAGGGAGAGCAGCAGCCAAACGTAGCTAACTAAAACTTTTAATTAATTGGGGAGCTTGATGGTGGTTGGTCTAAAAAAGCAGGAGTTTGTTGCTCGGGAGAAGTGAAGTAACATGATACCAAGCAGGAAAGACATCAGCAATGACCCAGAGAAAACAAAGAAAGATGTATATTTTTTTCAATGTGCAAAATATTAATTTACTATAATCCTCCTACTATCTTAATGTGTTATGTTCATAAACAAAATAAACAAACGTTTGTTGTTCCAGCAGTTAAGACTATTAACAATCATAATAAAAAGTAGATCATGTTTAAAGTGTATGATTAGTCAGCAGAGAATTAAAAAAAATAAAATAAAATAATGACCTGGTCTATAAAGGTATAGAGGATGATCTTTTATTTCCGGGTGGATCATCTAAATAAGTGGTCCTCCTAATTGTCAATCATGGTGTTTACATAATGTGTCAGATGAACATACCCGGTCAGCAGGGGTGTAAATCACATCCATCATGGCGATTCGATTCAGTATCGATTTCCTTACCCAACAATTTGATTATTTTCGATACTTAAGAATACACCACGATACGATTCGATTAATTGGTTCATTTATTTTGTTTTTTTTTTACCTTACAGGCAAGACAATGTCAGTCAGTCCACTGCTGAAATACCACGCAACATTACCTCAAGTTCAGATTAATTACCTATTCACAACACTCGTGGTATCAAAGCACTAAAGGGTTTCTTTACAATTACATAAGAGGTTGAGAAACGCAGAAATGGAAAAAAAAAAGTAAAGTCTTTATCCTGAAACATTTTATTCTGCAGTTTTTTCATCAAATACATATAAAAGCTGTATTTCCATTGGATCTCTGAATAATTCTAATAAATTCTGTGTCTGAGCAGCAGCCCTGTCTGTGAAAAGGAGTGGTTGGAGAATATCACAAGAAAACGCAGGAAGGCTCACACCAGGAAGCATCTAACTTAACCACATTGCGCCTGCACTGTAAACAAACTCCCACTTTCTACAATCAACACAATGATTCCTGCTCTTGTAGCCGCTCTGCACAGTGCAGCAATCTCCCTTTGTTAATCTAATGTCTAAGTAGTGAAGATCAGTCTTTTGGCCATGAGAGGTCCCCAACTTGGTTCAATCTTTAAAAGTGGTGTGATACTTTGATGCAATTTTTTTTTTCCATGGTTGGAAGAATATAACTATATTTCATAAAAAAATGTATACCACCGTATTGTTACAGCATGATTCCATTGTATTTTTGACTCGAAAAGCTGCCAGTGAGGAGTATGTTTTGTGTTTTTGAGCATTAAGTTAAGGTTTAAATAAAATTGGAGCCACTTTAAGACCAGATCCTGTTTTGTTGCCGATTGTTTGCAGATATGAGGATTAAGTTACATCAATGTTCACAGTTACATATTTATAAAAAAGAGAGCAATACTTAGATCCCATATTACCGTATTATCGTGACTATAAGGTGCATATAGTGCAGTGCACCCTATGCGTGTTGTTACTGCGGACGCTGTTGAAACCACCATGAGAACGTTAAAGGGGGAAGTGTGGGCGTGGATTGTGATTTTTAAGAGAAAGAAGTTGCCTAAAGACACTTTTCCAGCTGGAGTCGTTATTAAGGCAAATGAAAAGGGCTGGATGGATGAGGAGATGATGAAAGAGTGGCTGAGGGAGGTGTATGTGAGGAGACCAGGTGG